CTTTATTAAGTCTTAATCAATCATATGACATGTGCTATATGAATAAACTTGACCTAAATCTGGAGTTTAAAACGTTGACATCCGGTGATACAGCAGCATGTGCCTCATGGGTGATATTTGATTCTAGTCTTGCAAAATCCAAAATTCTCTTTGAAGTTATACGTTTCGCAAATCAATAACAGATGTGCCAGCAGGAGTCTGATGCAACAGCACACGTATCTGTTGCAGATAATATTGTAAGTGACCTTCTTATGGGCTCAGAACAGTCTCATAATGAGAACATAATGTTGAGTATTTTAAGTATCTTTTGATGCTAGTACATTTTCACTTTTTAATGCAGGACTTTTACTCGCTTGTTGTTACAGAAAAATGTGACACTGACTGTATTGTAACAATTACTTATGTAAAATAATAATAATAATTAATTACATTTTTATTTAGAGCGCTTTTCATGGCACTCAAAGCACTTTACAATGACACAAAAGCTTTGAAATACTTTTTCACCACTGCGTATGGATAAACTCAACACAATATTAATCACAAACTATTTTGATATTTGATTATTCCTTAAAAAACAAAATAATATGTCAAACATTCACTGGCTTTTGTTCCGATTCCAAATGTTAACATTGGCTGGTTTTCTTAATCTCCTATCTTTTGGACTTTTTATCAGACAAATACGTGGACGTTGAACTTTGACATTGTTTGTTTGTTTGTAGCCTTTATTTAACCAGGTGAAAGCCCCTTGAGATCAAAAGATCTCTTTTTCAAGGGTGACCTGCAAAGACATTGCAAAACTGCGATGGATATTTGGCAGAGCGAAGGATATAAAGGGATTAAAATGCATTAACAAGGAGTTAAATATTAGCTTAAGTATTAATATATAAATCCACATACTAATTTCACACACATGTAGGTGAATTGTTTTTATATTTGCCTGCATTCATGCTATATATAGTTATTACCTAACTGAATGTTCTCAATGATGTTCTCTAAACTTTCTGTGCCAAAGGGGAGAAGGTATGGGCTCAGAACAGTCTCATAATACACACATGCACACAGAATGATTCACACTTGTATTTCATGATCCGCAATAGGATTCACACTTGTGTTTTTCAATGCACACACAAATGTGTTCCGTTTCATATACATGTAAATAAATTCCAAATACAGAAAAAAGTTGTACATATGTATTTTTGATCCTCACATATTTGTTTTCCGTTTAAAACCGCTGCACCTACAAACACAAACCGCTTTCTGTGCACGGATCGCTGTGCATTCGTGTGTGGGTTTTTGAGACTCCCCTGACGCTCACCCGATTCGTACTTGTAACTTCTCTCGTCTATATCCAATCAGATGTCTCCTCCAGTCTAAGCCAATCACATGATCGCGCCCCCACGAGGGTAGGATTTCTTGCGTTCATGACTATCGCTTCATTTACGCATTTTGCGCTGTCCGGACTCTGGAGCTGACGTTCTTAATATAATACATCCATGGAGCTGACAGGTCAACTTCAACATGGCGTCTAGCACAAGTGTAAGTGATACGTGTCTCGGCGTGAATGATTAAATATGTTTTAGGTATGAATTATTGTTATGTTAGTGATGTGTTAGCATGGAAGTAATATGGGTGGCATGTAGCCTAAGGCTAGCGTTTGCTGGCAAGTTAGCTATATAATGCTAATAGACTACCTAGGATTATTCTTTCATACACAGTGACGTCACGAGCTACCCACAATGCAACACGCGCCATATATAAATACGCCATTTTCATGGAGGTGCAACTATCCTGGAAGTGCAAATATAAACAGCTAGTTTACGTAGCCAGGCAGAGCGCACTAGGTTTTTTTTCTGAATTAACGACAGAAGAAATCGCTGCATGTCTTCGGATTACATCTCTTGACTTGAGGGGTGTGCTCTAGGTCGTTACCAGCGTAAACTAGAGCTGTGTGGGTTGTCGGATTGCCCTTACAGACTGCCTGCAGATGTATGGAAAAACGACAGTGGCCTGCGTCGATTTTGGCTGCATCTACGTCTAATTTCTGGAAACACCAGGTGAATACCCCACTTGTCACAATAATATTATCATGCCATTGCATATATGTAGTATTTTAGAGTTGACTAGATATTGATTAAGGCAATAGACTATGATATTCAGTACAGGAAGCATAGCAATACCTAGACGGTGTACGGCTGCTTGCACCTCGCGTAAAACGGTGGATACCGGAAGTACGGTGTCGCGCACGGCCCAATACCCGTATGTGTGTGTGAAAGAATAACCTTACATAGCTAACATTAGCCAAACATTTCTTTAACTTCTTTAATTCTCTTGCTTTCTTTTTTAGGGACAGCTTAGATGGAATGAATCCAAAGTTTGCTGCTCAAATTATTATTCAAAATATATTCCATTGTGTTTAATGATGGGGTGGAATTGAACATTAAGAGCTGACGTTAAATAGGATTAACCGGTGTTGGTAAACAAACGGTCGAACGTTGAGCACTGTTGGTCATATTTTATCTATCTTTTCTATTCTTTTCCCCCCAGGAATCAGTAAAGCGTGAAATCCTTCAGAGAATTCAAGATCGACTGACATACATCTTGGATAGGACACCTGTTGATCTTGAAGGGCTACAGTTTGCGTGCCGTCAGGCTTTTGTTATATTGAGTCAGACCCGGCGGCAGACATACATCTCTGGGCGGGCATTTGATTTACCAGGGCGGGCCCACCACGACACTTACATTTCCCGGGAAATCTGAATTGTCAACGGGGGGGGGGGGGGGGGCTGTTAGATGCTCGCGATTTGTCAACGGGGGGGAGGGAGGCGCTCGTGAATTGTTGAAAGAGAGGGGTTTTAGGTTGCCATAAGGCTGTTGACGGTCTTATGTATCCATTGGTTGGTTTTGTGGCACATTTGTAACGCTGTGCCAACTTGGGCAAGCACGCAGGCAAACTTGAGCGCACACAGGGTGGAGAGGTGGAGTAAGGTTGAGCAATGGAGAGAAAGGGAGAGAGAGAGAGATTGAGCGAGGCAGAGAGCCTGTGCACAGAGCAGGAGTTTGTGAGAGAGCCGGCTTGAGAGTACATTTCTCTTCAAAATATAATTGATTGCCAGCTGACTTGCTTGCTCGTTGGTAACGTAGGCCTAACTGATTTATTCTAATGTGCCTGCATCTGGCGCTGAGTTGCCATATTCCTTTCGTGAACCACTAGCTAGAGTAAACTAACTGACAGGCTGCTGTGCCGCATCTCACTCAAAAACCCACACGACTCAACCCAGCGAAAAACCAGTCTTGCGCGCAGCCTTTCATTCAGAATTTCCTAGCAAAATAAAAAAATTATATTAAACTAATACAAAAATAAATATTAGGACAAAGCCCTACAAATAACAACAATAAACATAATAATAAAACAATAAAAATGTGGTATTCAGCCTTTATTAAAACAGCGGGCCCAAATCCTGGATGGGCGGGCCCGGCCCCATGGGGCCCGCCCATGACGCCGGGTCTGTATTGAGTGCACTGGGTGACATTGTTGATTTAGGGAATAATATACAGTCTGCACTTGCAGACCTGAATAGCCTTATCCAGCAAGAGAGAGATAATTAACAGATATTTGTGACCCTTGAGTTGCAAAAATGTTGTGGACGTGGGCGTCCACGATTGAATATGTCAGTAGAGGCTCTGACAAATCTGGTTGAACTGGGACTGCCATCGAGTTGCATCGCCAGACTCCTGGGTGTGTCTAGACTAGAGCAACGCTATTTAGGCGGATGACCGAAAATGTCTATACATTTCTATATCTGCTTCATTTAGTGGCTGCACTGATGACGAATTGGATTAATTGATCACCACAATAAAAAGTGCAATGCCAGATGCTGGCTACAGTGTAGTCCGAGGTGCTCTACTTGCGAAGGGACACAGAGTGCAATGGGAACGGGTGCAGTGGTGTAGTGGGCGTTGGACGCGGGGGTACGCCGTACCCCCACTTATTTGGAGCATGATCTTTTTTTTAATAGTCTAATAAATATAAAATCATTGCCAGTGTTATCAGTTGCAAGTGTGTATTTCTTGTAATAATGACAAAAACTGAAATACATTTCACAGTAATTATAATACAAAATAAAAACGATTTCCTTAAAGAATTATGATTCTTCATCACGCTCGTGACCCCGCGGCGAGCTGGGGGTGTGTCAGTAACACACCCACGGCGATTTTGCGGCAGCTCTTTCCCTCAAGAACGCTGACGAAAAGGCAGGCAAACATTTTTTACTTGACTTATTTTCTAAAAAGAATATAATTCACAAGAAGAAAGAAGCTAGCAGCACCTGCCATCTCAAACAGGTTGCTTTCCCGAAGCGCGGCTGCGGAGGGAACCCGATGTTCCATTTCCCCTTCAAAAAGGCTTGTAAGAGCTGCACATCCTTAAGAAAAAAGGAGAAATAGTTTAGACATCATGTATTGCTATAACGTAATTTTTAGGTCAAGCTTTATTGAGTGTTGGTTCAACTGTGAATATGCATGTTGTAATCTTTGTTGGTTTATTAAGATTTAGCTGCAAGTGGTTATTTCAATTGAAAGACAAATGGGAACACCCCACCTAAATGTATACTGAAGCCGGTCTTCAGTTTCTGCATGGCCATTGACAAAACGTGTCGGTTGACACCTTGGTCGACTGCTGCATCCCCTTGAAAAGACGACCTCATTTAGAAAAGTACAACCAACAAGATGATATTCAACATACACTTACCAAGAGACAACATGAATCATCCTTCAAGCTTTCAATACAATAAATGTAACTAGTTCTTTCTTCCCGGGTCCAAGGGACATGAACTTAATCCTCAACATGCAAGTAAAAACAAACAAAAAGGCAAAATTCGACCCAGATGACAACCTATAATGAAACATGAGAAGTTACACTATTTATTAATACCTCTCAGCCTGCACTTCAATGGAGCTGCCCAGTTAACATTGTTCATTTTAAAGAATGAAATCAATGAACTGTCCGTTTCTTCTTCTGCGTCAAACATGTCGATTGATAGAAAGAGGCGTGGACATTCATAGTTACGTTCCAGCAGTTCCTCTCTGAACAACTGACATGCCTTCCGGGGGTCCACTTCATTGGCCCATGCTGAAAACGTAATTTGAAGGAAAAAAAAGTGGTTGGTACAATAAACTTCATAATATGTCAGCTTCAATTCTAAAATAGTACTTCATTTATTGTCTCATTTAGTAAGCCCTGTATTTTAAAGCAATATATTAAAAGGTAGTAACTTGAAATCAATTATCCTTTCCATATTACTGGATCAAACATGTAACAACATTCATTTTGGTGATCATTGCTATTTAAGTGTATCTGAGTAGTCACTGTTTCAAACTACACCACAGCAGTAATTATTCTGAATAAATAACCTGCTGAAACTGTTGCTGGCAATCGTTGAACTGAAGGTCCTGGCATTTCCTCTGTCCTTGTCATACTGGCTGCATCGCTATGATGAGCAGGGTCCATTCTTGGAAAAGACAAAACAAATAACATACTCACAGGAATGGAAAATAGAGACAAGTGAGTGCCCATTCTTTTTTTACATATTTCTTGCATATAGGCTCCATCAAACAAAGTAATTTAAATCAGATCCCTAATAAGTATTTCGGCTCTGTTATGATTTCTACATCTACATTTCTTAAAAATGCATCACATGCTCTGATGCAGCTGCTATAGCTGTAACATTACAGCATTTTAAAGCACAAAAAAGGAACAAGCACATTCACCAAACGATATCGTTATTAGGTTTGACACTTTGTATATGTTGTTCACCTCTCTCAAAACATGTCTATCTTCTATCTTTTGCTTGAACAAGTCAAAACTTCTTACCCTTCACCACATGTGCTTGCATGAAATGAGAGGACATCAATCGGGTAAGATTCAAGCCATATAGGGCAAACCTGTAAAAAACATAAACAAATGTCAATACCTTTAAAACATCACATTATTATAAGAAAGGTTTTATGTTTAATAATTCTCTCTCAGATAAGTGATACAGGAAACATTATTCTATGATAAAAAATGAGTACATAGACAGTGTGCAAAAAGTCAGTTTGGTGAAATGTGTTATACCCAACCTATATACACACCTGCAATCATACTGTCATTATTTACTGAAAACAATAAGGCTTTTATACTAAATTGCAAAGTAACTTTAACAGGAGAAGACAGCATCAACTACCTCTGACGATTCTCCCATCCCTGTGTTAGGTGGATTTGGCTGCTCAATCACTTCATCAAGAGAAGTCCCAGATTCACTCTCCTAAAAAACAAAAAAGGTACAGAGAATTGGTTCTATAGACTTTGAAACAGTCATTTGAGCAAACTAAAATATTACATATTTATTTGAGAAATGAGAGAAATGTTTTAATAACAGCTTACAGTCAATATGTCATTACATTACTACACATGTAAAGGCAACAGCTGCAAAGGCATTTGACTGCCACATGTTATGCAGGTTGATTGTGGCATCTTTGCAAACTCTGCCGAGTCATAGGGTAGTGGTTCGGTAGAAAGTTGCTCCTGTAGTGGAATTACAAACACAATGTTTTTTCTGTTGTTGGACGCTGTTTTGAGGAGCCTTGTGGAGTACCCCTCGGAGTCAGTAGGAATTATGGACAGCTTTCGACGTCCACTACCACCTATTTTAAAATCAAAATAGGAACAACACAAGTGTGCTTTAAAACCACCTGACAGTACATACATTAATATTAGGGATATACGTTACACTTTGTCAGGCAAACCTTAGTACTGTTTTATATAACTTGAAGAAGTGATATGAATGGTAATTCAAAGTAGGGCGTGAGAAAACACATGTGGGGCTTCTGAGTGTGAAAAACACAAAACAGCATTTTCACCAATGGAGATGAGAACAATATTACCTGCTGACTTGAAAAACATCCAGCCTCCTTTTAATGTTTTCAGTTTTGGAAATTCTTCCTCAACCGTAGCCATAGTCTTTAAAACAAAGTGAAATAACATACAATATTCAGCAAGTGATACACATTTTAAATCTTTGAGAAATCTTCAATACTGTTTACGTGTATATGATTACCTCACTGTGCAATAAGTTGTCCGGTAGATTTAGCATCCTCTTTCCAAGGCCAGCATGGGCAAGTGGTAGCTCTTCCGAGCCCTTAGGTGTAAACTGACTGGGTCCGAAAGGACATATATATGAAAGTCCGTCCGTTTGACGATGCAAGGAGCCGGGGTGGGAAATCGTCTTTTGCCTCTTGGCTGATCAGTACTGAACATACTTGGGAATTGCCTGATGTGGGAATGACAAAAGGATCTGTGAGACTAGACATTCTATTAAATGTATATTAAGATTGTTATATCATTTCCAAATCCTTGGCTTGCGTTGATGGTTTTGTTAACATAGTTTGAACAAATTGTATGAATAAAAAGCGAAATCATAGTTAATAGAATATTAACTATGATTTCGCTTTTTATTCATACAATTTTCAGGGGTAGACATTAAGGGTAAAATGCCACTGGTCCTCCGGGCCGGTGGAATTGTATTATCACTGGCCCCACCATTGTAACCACTGGCCCGGAGCATTCGTCCAAAAAAAATCGACTAATAATGAAGAAAATAAACACATTTGTTGCAATAGTAATTTATGCACTTACTACATTACTACTTGTACTACAACATTTGAATGATCAGTTCTTCCTCATTTTCCTCAATTGTTCATATTTGGTTTATTAAAATAATGATATTGTGGTCATTGTTAAAAAATGTCTGCTATTATTATGAGTATTATTATTTGTATAATGCACTTTCTGCCTTCCTGTCATTAGGAGTTAGAAATGTAATGGCTATTCTTTCACACACAGTGACGTCACGAGCTACCCACAATGCAACACGCGCCATATATATATATATATATAAATACGCCATTTTCCTGGAGGTGCTAATATCCTGGAGGTGCTAATATAAACAGCTAGCTAACGTAGCCAGGCAGAGCGCACTAGTTTTTTTTTCTGAATTAACGACCGAAGAAATCGCTGCATGTCTTCGGATTACATCTCTGGACTTGAGGGGTGTGCTCTAGGTCGTTACCAGCGTAAACTAGAGCTGTGTGGGTTGTCCGATTGCCCTTACAGACTGCCTGCAGATGTATGGAAAAACGACTCTCGAAAGTAGCCTTCGGTCGATTTTGGCAGCATCTACGTCAGGTGAATACCCCACTTGTCACAATAATATTATCATGCCAATGCATATATGTGGTATGTTAGAGTTGACTATATTGATTAAGGCAATAGACTATGATATTCTGGTTGCACCTCGTGTGAAATGGCGGATACCGGAAGTACGGTGTCGCCCTCGGCCCAAAACCCGTATGTGTGTGTGAAAGAATGTAATTGATTAGATTAGAACCTTCATTATCCTAAACTGCTGGGACATTTCCCTTTATATTGTCTACTCTTCACTTACTTGTCAGCATAGGTCGGCATTGATGTACAGAGCCGACAGAAGACCTTGTTTATATTGGCATCATATTGAGAGGTGCAGCCAGTGATGCGTCCTAAAACCAGGAAGTAAGCTGCTGGTTCCCTCGGCAAAAAGCAATGGGTTCTTCTATTTCATCCCTACTGACCGCCAGAGGCGGTGCTTTAAGCACTGGATATGTCCATCGCGCGCATGCGCAGCTCGAGTACCAATAACAACAAAGTCACCTGTGACCCACGTGACACCGGCTATATCAGCCGGTGTCGTCAGAGGATCTGTTCCTTTCATCTTCTCGCTGCGCGAGAGTACCGTGGCTACATTTTTGTAGCCAACAGCGTTCAGGTTTGAACGTTTGATCTGAGGGAGTTCTCTGCAAGCAGCTGGCCGTGTGCAGCTTCGTGACTGACAGTCGGAGCTACGGGTCGTTAACGCGTCCTCCAGGAGCTGTGGCCGGCTGTGCGCTGTGCAGAGCCTCGACAGACAGGTTTGTGTCAGCTTGTTGCTGGTGATGGCTGTGTCCCCGCACCCTCTCCCAGCCAAGTTGTCCTGATTGCCGTCTTATTTTTTGTTTGGCTTTCTGGTGACGACAGTGTTCCGCTTCCTCTCCCATAAAGTTGCCCTTATGCTCTTTAGTTCTGCTTGTGGCGTTGTGCCCGAGCTATCATTAGCATTTGAGTCCCAGCTTTGGCTGCGTCCCTCATTCAATTTAGTATGGAAAGCCCAGTGTCATATTTTAAACCCGTTTTTCGTTTAGATGCAGAGAGTAAGGTAAGTACTTCATATTTCATAGAAGCTAATTATCTGGTCTTAACATTTGTGTTCTGACTTGGTCGCTTGATTGTTAGCAGCAGCCGCTTGGCTAACACCTTGCTGTTAAGCTTAATTATTTAACTCAGCCGGTGAGGGCAGGGCTCCCGCTCCCGGTAACATAGGGTTTGATTGCAGTAGCGCTAGATCGTTGTATTACTGCTCCTAGTACTAGACTCCTAGCACTAGGATGATATGCAGAGAACATCTTCACTGCGGGTGCTGTGTGCTCTGCATGTGCGGTTACTACTGTAACCATGGCCTACGGTTCTATGCGGGCTGTTCTCTTTCTTAGAAGCTAATTATCTGGTCTTAACATTGTGTTCTGACTTGGTTGCTTGATTGTTAGCAGCAGCCGCTTGGCTAACACCTTGCATGTGCCGTTAAGCTTCATTATTTAACTCAGCCGGTGAAGGCAGTGCTCTCACTCCCGCTCCCGGTAAACGCATGGTATGGTTGCAGTAGCGCAATATCGTTGTATTTACTGCTCCTAGTACTAGACTCCTAGCATTAGGACGATATGCAGAGAACAATCTTCACTGTGTGTACTGTGTGCTCTGCATGTGTGGCCATTAAAGAGGATTTCATCCTCCCAATATTATATTATCTAGTAGTGAACAGCCGTTTGGCGGACACTTTTAGGCACCGGCCACAGTTACTACTGTAACTACGGTTCCAAGCCGCGTAAGTATTGGCCATAGTCAATACCATATCTACGGCTCTAGGTGGTGTAAGTACTGGCCATAGTTACTACTGTAACTAAGGTTCTAAGCCGTAAGTACTGGCCATAGTTACTACTGTAACTACGGTTTCCAAGCCGTGTAAGTACTGGCCATAGTCAATACCGTAACTACGGCTCTATGCTGTGTAAGTACTGGCCATAGTTACTACTGTAACTACGGTTCTAAGCCGTAAGTACTGGCCATAGTTACTACTGTAACTACGGTTCCAAGCCGTGCAAGTACTGGCCATAGTCAATACCGTAACTACGGCTCTATGCTGTGTAAGTACTGGCCATAGTTACTACTGTAACTACGGTTCTAAGCCATGTAAGTACTGGCCATAGTTACTACTGTAACTACGGTTCCAAGCCGTGCAAGTACTGGCCAGAGTTACTACTGTAACTATGGCTCTATGCTGTGTAAGTTCTGGCCATAGTTACGACTGTAACTACGGTTCTAAGCCGTGTAAGTACTGGCCATAGTTACTACTGTAACTACGGTTATATGCCGTGTGAGTACTGGCCATGGTTACTGCTGTAACTACGGCTCTGTGCTGTTCTCTTCTTTAGAAGCTAGTTATCTGGTCTTAAACATGTGTGTTATTTGACTTGATCTCGCTTGATCGTTAGCAGCAGCCGCTCGGCTAACGTCTTGCGTGTACTGTTAAGCTACTTTATTTTACCCAGCTAGGTGAAGGCAGTGCTCTCGCTCCCGCTCCCTCTGCCGGTAATGCGGATGTAGCTACATCCCTTTTTCTGTTCGGCGAGTAGCAGCACCGCTCTACTCTTCCCGTTCAGCAGGTAGCTGGTGAAGGCTGTGTTCCCGCACCCGCTCCCGGTTACGCTGCATCTGGCATTCGTCTCTAACTCAACCAGTGAAGGCAGTGTTCTCGCCCCCGCTC